CTCCCACCCCCGCCAGCCCGATCCCGGCCTGCAGCACGCGTGTCCGGCCTGCACAGGGAGACCTGGGGCTGCGGGCCGGACTGTCCTGCATGGGTCCCGCATCGCGTCACAGCTGCGCCCCTGGCTGCCCCCGGGACGCTCTTGCTAACTATAATTCAGATTATTCGAGCCGAACATGCCTTCTATCACCTTTAACGAACGCCTTCTCACGACCACGTCCTCCGGGGGCCCACGGGCCCGAACCCACCAGGGCCCTGAGCTCTGCACGGGGACTGCAGACTCAACGCAGAGCGAGTCTTCCCGGATGCCAGGCCCTGACCTGGCTGAGAAGCGCGGTGCACCCCTGCCCAGCACACAGCCCCGGAGTGACGGGCTCCAGGGGTAGCACAGCTGTCCCCAGGGGAGGAAGTCACAGCCCGGGGGTGGGCGAGGTGCAGAAGCCACCCGGCAGAGCTGAGGTGCCCAGAGAGAAAGTGCGGGGCAGCCCAGCCCTCGCAGTGGGGAAGCTTCTAGGTCGATGGCACCCCCGGGTCCCTGCTGTGCCTGCCCGGGCCCTCTGCCTCCTTCCCACGAACCCAGAAACTTCTCCAGTCCTCGTGAACATGCTACCCACAAACACCGGGGGAAGCCCTGCTAACTCGGGCCAGAGCCTCTGGAGGGAGGGCTGGCAGACTACGGCCACGGCCGGGCCTCGGAATTACAGTTCTCTCGGGTGGAGCCGGCCCTCGCGGGTGGAGCGCGTGCGGCCCAGGCCACAAGGCTGACGGATGGTACTGTGCGCCAGGGGCCTCCGTGGGAAGGCTGGCGTCCCTGCACTGAGCCGGGCACCCTGGCTCCCAGCTCTGTCCTTAGCCCTCCAGGACAAGGCACTGCGTCTGAGGTGGCAGTTTGCTTACTGGGAGGTTCTGGGCCCTCCCACCCAGAATCCGTCGCCATCTGTCTGAGTCCCTGCCTCAGCTTCACCCCACGGGCACGTGGGCTCACTCACACCCCAAATGCTTGCTGAATTTACGGACGAGCAGGAGCTCACCAGCTTTCTAGGTTGGTTGCAAAGTTCCCTGCTGCAAAGAATTGTCATTTAACTCAGCTTCCCGAAGACCCTGACTGAGGTGAGAACCCGAGGAAACCGGACCCGGAGTGCGGACGGTGGTGCTGGGTGCTGCCTTTACCTGCTGTGGCACCTGCTGCACTCTGAGGGAGGTCGGCTGCATCGGGGCCCCTTTGGGGGCGGGGCCTGCTGCCTGGACCAGCACCCTCTAGAAGGAAAGGGGGGAAGGACAGTGAGCGGGTGGGAAGTTAGTGCTCAGACAGACCACAGCGGGGCTGCACAGGACAGCAGGGGACCGCGAGGGCGGGGCACACGGCCACACCCACCACACAGACTCACCTGCAGGCCCGTAAACAACCCCCACGTGCACGCGAGGGTGCACGCATGTCCCCATGCCCCATGCACGTGTGTGAGCCTGTGAGCACATGGACACACGTGCACAGAAGCGTGTCCCCAGGTCCTGTCTCTGGCTGCTGGGTGAGGGGGGACTCTCTGGATGCCGCCAGGCCTCCACCTGGAGGGCACTTTGCAACCCCCACATCCAGGCCCTCATTGATATGTCCCCTTTCCGTACATGAAGGGACACAAAGCTGAGTGGCCACGTGACACCTGAGCCTCAGAACTCGGAGTTCTAGAACCAGTCTCCAGCCGGGGTTTGCTGTCTGGGCCCCTCGCTCCCAGCTTGGCTGTCCCCTGGCATCCTGACTCCAGTGTGGCCTGGGTGACCCGCCAGCCTTGCTAAGCTTGGAAAACAGAGGGGTCCAAGAAGTGGCCCTGGGTGCAGAGCGGCAGGAGCGCTTCCCTGTCTACCTAGAGCTGCGACGGCACAGCCGGCCAGGGCTCTCGACGTGGGCCCTGAGTGTCGCCCTGACCTCGCTGCCCTGCTGGGTCTGCTCTGCCTTGCAGGCCACGCCGTGATGTGTGAGGATGCGGCGCCCTCTGGTGTCCACGGTGGGCAGCTGCAGGATGGGGAAGAAGCTAACAAGGGCCCAGCCGGGCAGGCACCCCTGGGCAGCTGAGGGCACCGCCGCCCCATTCCCAGGGTCCCGGCCTCTCCCAGCTCAGGGCTGAGACAGCCCAGATGGCATGGACAGATAAACACGTGGTACACTCTTCCAGTGGAACAGACTTGTCCTTTAAGAGGAAGAAGGGGCCGGCCGCGCGGAGGTTTGCACATGGCTGACCACGGTCTGAGTCGGGGGCGGGCCCTCCTGCGCCTGGACCAGGGATGGGAATGGAAGAGGCCGCCGGGATGAGCCGTGGTGGCCGTGGCCCCAACGCCAGGCCGGCCCTGCCAACGGCTGCAGGCATCTAAGACCCTCCGGCCCGCAGCCCTACTGGCAAGAAGTAAAAGCTACGGGTGTCCAGGGCCAACAGGTGGCGCAGGGTTCCGGCGCTGGACTCCCACACGGTCAGCTGTGGTTCCAGTCCCAGACCCGGAGGCTTGAAACTCATGGCAGGCACGTGTGTGTGCGAACCCCAAACCCCCAGAGAATGGAGAAGGGATGGCAGCATGGCCATCGCCCCTGGGGGAGAGTTCTCACTTTCCCCCTCACTCTCGGTCTCCCTCCAGGGAGCGCACACACGCCCTGTGGCAAAAACCTTAAAACAACAGCAAAACAAGCTAAAGACACCAGTGGGCACTGGGCCACTCTGGCCTTCTCTAAGTGACGTCACTGTCGCATCTCTCCTTCCTCCGCCATGCTCCTGACTCTGGGACTCGCGCTGGTGGGTGAGCACGTAGGGGCCACGTGGTCCCCGAAACCCACCCTGCACCGCCGGCTACTTTATGGCTAGTTTCAGTGGCAGCGGGGACCCAGAGGCAGAGAGAGCCTAAATTTGAAAATGACGAAAGCATTTTAGACTTTATTTTGAGCCAAACTGTAAGAATTGTCACGTGTGGTGTCGCCTGCCTTACCTACAGACTGTGAAAGGGCAGGCAGGGGGCAACCCCCTTGAAAACGCCAACAGGGACTTGGGGGCGTGGCCTCCTTCCTCCTTGGCGGGACCTTTGAAACAAGGTCAATGGGGCGGGCGTCGTTACCTGCGGGGAGGCGGGCACTGGCGGGGCTGCCACCGACGGACGCAGAGCCACGGACGCTGGAGACTCCGATCCGCCCTCGGAACTCTGCATGCTCAGCTCTAGAGAGAGGTGGACAGAGTGAGTGGGCGACGGGCGCACACAGAAGCCCCGGGGGACACGGACGAGGACCCCTCTGAGCGGTGGCGCGCGAGCACGCGGCGCCCTCTGGCGGGCAAGGTGCGCAGCTGCAGGGCGGGGAGGCTGAATTGGCAGGCCAGGGGTCTCATCAGCTCCACGGGGAGACAGTGACTCCGGGTCCCCAGGGCCTGGAAATCAGGGGAAGCCGCATCCCATATGGCCGACCATGGTCTGAGTCCTGGCCCAGGGCCTTGAAAAGCACGCCGGGCGCGGGTGTGACTCAAATCCCAGCGGGGTGGGGAGCTGGAGAAGGGACTGCAGTGTGACCGCGCCCCACTGGGGTGCTTGCTCCCCGTCCCCTGCCCTCGCAGTCTCCCTCCGGTGAGTGCACGTGCCCTCTGGCAATTTGAAAAATACTAGGTGGGCCGACAGCATCTCCTCTTTCCGAGCTTTTGGACGGGCTCGGACAACTCCTGATCCCTTCTGGCAAAGCCAAAGCTCTTGAGGGCTGATCGTTACCTGGGGAGCGACTGAACCCCAAACTACAACCGGAGACCCCCTGCCCCGGGCACACAGCCCTTCGGGGCTGGATACGGCTTTGCTGTGTGGGGTGGGCGGTCCTGGGCACCCCCACCCACCCCGCCCCAGTGGCCCAGCCTCCCCAAGTCACGGCAATCGGAAATGTCCCTGGACGTTGCCCGGTGTCCCCTGGCTGAGAACCGCTGGCCCTGGGTCAAGGCGATGAGCAGCAGGAACAGAAAGAGCATGTGTACCCGGCTGGACGAAGGCCCTCGGGACTGCGGTGCCAGGGCTGTGTTTGCTGACCGTCAAACAGATGCTTTAAACAGTCCGCAGGCCCAGCCACGGTGGGGCAGCAGTTAGCAAGCACCCTCCAAGGCCGGAAGCCACCTGAGCGACCGTGAGTTCAAAGCCCCAGGTCAGCCTGCAGACATGCCGGGAGTGTGTGCGGGTGCCGGGATCCGTGAGGGTGGAGGGAAGGGCATCGCGGCGTGACGAGACCCTGTGGAGGGTCTCTCCCTCTCTCTCGCACACGTGTGCTTTCTGTTGTAAAAAACTCTAGGGCCAGCCCATGGCTTGGTGGTTGTGTGCACTGGGTCCCACGTGGACGACCATGAGTTCGAGACCCAGGCCTGGCAGCTTAAAACGAAGCAGGACATGTATCGGCACACGCGTTCCCGGAACCCCAAAGGAGAAATGGAGACGGGGCCCAGAGGCAAACGGCCCTCGCTGTTGAAGGACCCGCCGGCAGCCACCTTACACGCGAGGCCGCTGGGTGCACTTTGTGGTCAGGGGCACCTGTGCCCTCTCCTGGTGGCATCGTTCCCTCAGGGCGGCCTTGAGGACAGACGTGCAGGTCCCGCCACAGTGCCCGGCACCGTCAGCCCACCCTAAACGCTCGCCACCATGCGTCTGTGTTTCTCTACTGCTCCAGGACTCCCACCTCTAAGGATGAAGGAGAAGAGAGTTTTTCTGTGTGTGTGTGCGTGTGTGTGCTTGCCAGAGAGAGAGAGGAAGCGAGAGATCACCCCTGGGGGAGATGGCCATGCCGCAATCCCTTCTCCACTCTCCTCTCGGGATCTTGGGCACGCACACACATGTGCCCTGGATGACTTTATTTAATTAAAAAATTTATTTACCTTACCTTTATTTATTTATTTACTGGGAGAGATTTTCGCTATAGGGCCTGTGTGCTCGCCAGACAGACAGAGAGAGACACAGAGACAGAAAGCGAGAAATCACCCCCAGGGGGGATGGCCACGTCGCAATCCCTTCTCCTCCATTCTCCTCTCGGGATCTCGGGCACGCACGCACATGTGCCCAGCATGAGTTTTAAGCCACCGGGTCCGGGAAGTATGTGGTAGTCCAGCGACATAGCCATTACGCTAACTGCTGGTTCCCTTATTTATTTATTTTAATTTGACCAGAGAGAGAGAGAGAGAGAGAGAGAAGGAAAGTGAGAAAGCAAGCCACTGGGTCCAGGACTCGAACTGTGGTCGCTGGGAGTCCAGTGCCTTTACCACCATACCACTTGCTAGCCTTCCCTAACATTCCAAGTTTTTTTTTTTTTTTAATGTAAAGAAAAACTGGTAACAGACTAAAATAAGGCAGCCAGGGAAAAGCTGAGGGCGTGCGTGCTCCAGTGCGAGGGAGCGGGTTTAACCCCACTGAAGCATCAGGGCCGGCCCGCCTCCGGTCACGCGCTCCCAAACGCCCCAGGGTAGGAGAGCCGCTGGAAGACAGAGGCCCTGCCCGTGGCGTTCTTCCACTGAGTGCGCCGGACTCCGTTCATGCCACTAGATGTCCCCAGAGCCCGCAGTGACGGGCCGTGCCTGTGTGCTCCTCTGGACTCCTCCTCCGCGCTCAACACTGCATCTCCCTTCCGATGGCGGAACTCCTGGGCCCACAGCTTCCTCTCTCCCCGACAGAACCACCTCTGGCCTTCCTGGTGGCAGGTGCTCACGTTTCTGGAATGTTCACGTCAGCCATCTGCGGACCACACAGCAGCACCCTCGCCTGGGGAGCCAAGAAGCAGTCCCGCCGGTGACAGGAGGAAATCGTCCCCACTAGAGCTCTTCCAGAGAGCCCCCCTGAAGTACAGGGAGAGCCGCCCTAGATCCGCTCCTGCTGGTCCTTGGGACCCACAGAGGGCGTAATGGTTATGTCGCTGGACTCCCACGTAGTCGACTGTGGTTCGAGTCCTGAACCCAGTGTCTTGAAACTCACGCCAGGTACGTGTGCGTGCGTGCCCAAGATCCCGAGAGGAGAATGGAGGAGAAGGGATTGTGGCATGGCCATCCCCCCTGGGGGGTGATTTCTCTCTTTCTGTCTCTCTGTCTGGTGAGCGCATGTGCCCTATAGCAAAAACCTCTCCAAAATATATATATATATATTTTGAACGGAATGATCATGAAAACACTACGTATCAAAATCTGTGGGATGCATTTAAAGCACACGGAGTGAAACGCTTAGCTTTGTACATGTATGTTAGAGAGGCTGGACGGTCCATTGTTCCAGTTTTCGGCTGTAAGAAGCTATGAAGACAACCTCATTAAATTAAGGAGACGTGAGGAAAAACAATAAAGAACAAAATCAATCAAAGAAAAACTCCATAGGTGGCAAAGAAAACCAAAATTTCTTCAAGACTCCAATTTCTCCCTAAAACAATCAGGCCATCAAGCCATGAGACAGCACAGAGGAAACCTAACACACCACCAAGTGAAAGAAACCCACTTGGAAAGGCTACATACGACACCGGTTTTAAAAACTATGTGACATTTTGGAAAAGGGCAAAACTGTGGAGACAGCAGAATGAGCAGAGGTTATGAGAGGTCCGAGGGAAGCTGGGGACGAGGAGGCAGAGCACGGGGATTTTTAGGGCCATGAGAATCCTCTGGAAGGTACTGCCCTGGGGTCCATGTCCTTAGACATCAGTCCAAGCACCAAGAACGGATAAATGATGACTCCGGGCGGACTCATCAACTGTCAACAACATTACAGCTGATGTCACAATGTTACAATCCCCTGGGGAGGGGTGTCCATAATGGGGAAAGACTATGAGCTCTTTTTGCTCAATTGATCTTTTAAAAAATCATTTATTTATTTAATTCAATTAAAATATTTTGATCAGAGAGAGAGAGATAGAAAGGAGAGGGGAGAGACCGCCAGGTCCAGGACTCAATCCATGGTCGGACATGTGGGAGTCCAGTGCCTTAACCACCACACCATCTGCCAACCCCCTCAATTGATTTTTTTTTTTTTTTGGAGAGGTTTTTGCTATAGGGCACGTGTGCTCGCCAGACACAGAGAGAGACAGAAAGTGAGAAATCACCCCCAGGGGGGGTGGCCATGCCACAATCCCTTCTCCTCCCAGGATCTTGGGCACGCACGCACATGCGCCTGGCTTGAGTTTTAAGCCACTGGGTCTGGGACGTGAACAGCAGTCGACCACATGGGAGTCCAGTGACATAGCCATTACGCTAACTGCTGGTCCCCCTCAGTTGATTGTTGAGAGATGTCAAGGCAATTCAACAGAGGGGAAAAGAACGTCTTTTAAACAAATGATGCTGGATCAACATGATATCCATATTGGGGGAAAAATGAACCCTGACCCCTTCCTCACACCATACACAAAAATGACCTTAAGTCAGATCACAGACTTACACATATATTCTAAATCTATAAGACTTTTAAGAGGAAACATAAAGGGTTCGGCTAAACTTTCTTAGCATACAGAAAACAATGAGCATTAAAAAAAAAGCTTGACAAATAAGATTTCATCAAATTGTGAAACTTCTGTTCTACTAAGAACATGAATACGACTGGAAAAAGTAGCAAGGTCCTGCCAGGGGAAAGCATGTGGAGTTTCTCCAGGGTGCCCAGCAATGGGCCACTTCTTACTGAGTGTGGAGTCTCTTAGAAAGTGAATGAATAAATAAAAATAAATAATTCTATAAAAAATACTATTGTTCAGGGCCAACAGGTGGCATGGTGGTTAAGGGAGCTGGGGTGGCTGACCATGGTTCTAGTCCCAGACCTGGTGGCTTGCTTTCTCACTTTTCCTCTCTCTCCCTCCGTCCCTCTATCGTATGTATGTATGTATGTATAAATAAATAAATAAAGCAAGATAAAATAATAATAATTTAAAAAATACTATTGTTCTTATTTCCAAGAGAAGAAAGACATTTTCTAAAATGGGCATGTAAAGAAATTTCTAATTTTACTCATGCTACATACGTAATTTACGCAAACAACCACAACAAAACAAGCCGTCCCTATAGACTAGCGGTTAAGGGAGCCATATCAACATGAGCCACTGCAGTTCAAATCCTGGCCCCAGCAGCTTGAAAAAAACACCGGGCACAGCGCTCACCAGCCATGTTGCTTGAGGCCTGAGTGTATATGGGCACATCCTAACAGGATGGAGAAATGGAGGAAAAGGGATTGTGGCATGACTACGTCCCATTGG